TTCTATTGGCACAATGTAGTATTAAGTTACTATTGTTGTTGTTAAGTGCTGTTGAGTCAGTTCCAACTCATAGTGACCCTGTCTAGGATTTTCCAGGAATGATGGGTGGATTTTAACTGCTTACCTTGTGGTTAACCAGTCCAGTGTTTATCCTACAATACCACACCTGGACTCTAAGTTACTATTAGAAGGCAAATAATCCGGCAGTTCCTGAAGAATGTAATACTAGTTAAATTTTTCTAGAATAATAATTTATCAAGAAATTTTTATCATACTGGAGTATAAAGTGATAGAAATTTTGTAATACTGCTTCTTAGATGAGGGGAAAAGGTAGAGAATTGAACTAAGTGCTACCTCTTACAGAAAGTACAATAAACATATGTATTCATTCATTTGACAAATGTATGTTATTGTTGTTAAGTGCCATCCAGTCGATTCCGACTCACAGTGACCCTATATAGGGTTTCCAAAGAGTGGCTGGTGAGTTGGAACTGCTGACCTTATGGCTCAACCGGCCTTATTGTTCAAACTGACCTTGTGGTTCAGTGCATATCCTACAGTAGCATATGGGATATGAAGCACTATTTAAATGTGAGACATTCATTTTGTTCAAGGAAGGTTTGTGCAAAGGAATGATCTGTGGTTCCATACCTGAGAAAAAGACCACATCTTGGAGGTTACAGATACAGGCTGACTTCTGGCTAGAGTTTGAGATGCCTTTGAGACTGCTAGAGGGAGAGTTCAAAGAAAGCAACCGCATGTAATAGTCCAGAGCTCAGATGAGAGTCTTCACTGGCCTAGATTTATGAAGCGGTTGTAAGGGAAGCTGCAGGTATGGTGAATATGAGCTAGGAAGGGAGTGAAGAGTGAGAACAGAAAAGGGTCAGGCATTAGTAAGCCTTCAGGGATTCCATCACTGAAACAAACGGGCTCTAAAGAGGCAGAGGTGGAGGTAGGAGACCTGGACAACGATGTGAGAAGGATTGCCTAGGTAGGGAAGAAGGAGCCCAGGAGGCACTGTGATTAAGTGCTTGGCTGCTAACTGAGGCAAAAGGTTGACTATTTCCTGGTGACAGTGTAGGATAAGCACTGGACTACTAGCTGCCAGGTCAACAGTTCAAACCCACCAGCTGCTCTTCGGGAGAAAGATGAGCTTTCTGCTCCTATAAAGATTTATAACCTCAGAAAGCCTATTTGTTGTTGTTGTTGTTTAGTGCTGTGTTTAAGTAGGAATTGATGGGTGGGGTTGGTTTTGGGGTTGGTTTTGACTATTTAATCCCTAGAAGTACACCTGGCCATCTGCTCCGAAACTGCTTAGAGCCTGTAAGAAAACTCTCTGGGATAGTTCTACTCAGCCTCATTTTCTTAAGGTCGTTATTAACAAGCCACCAAGAGTATTTTGGAGTTTTATCAATTATACAGTATTCTTTACGCTGCTACAAATTTAATAAAAAACTTAAAAAATATATATATTTTTTATGCTGGCAAAAACATTGCTTACTTTTGGAAGCAATGATTTGTCTATTGAAGGTTTGCATTATTACATTTACATTAGTATTTTATTCTAAGAAACTATTCTAGTATATTCCCGTATATAATTGTGGCAAGAATTTGTTCCAACAATTCTTCCACAAAGACATTTGGAATGCTTGCTTTCTTTGCCTTTTGTTCAGTTCTGTCACTGATTGTTTACACTGAATGAATTCACACTGCTGGCATTTATTCTACAACATGTGAACATTGCTGTGCCCCAGAGGAGTGCTAAGCCACAACTCTACAGTTTGGTCGCAGAGTGTTTTTGTAAGTGCGCTGTGTTTCTAAACCATCTTTGTTTGCAAATGGAAAACTTTGGAACTCACGAGTTTTCCATTTGTTCCAACCCAGTTCATAGTCAGTTACATGCAGCTGAATCAGACCTTGGACTTCATATGATAGCACCTTTGAGCACAGTTAGCTGCACTCTTTGCTGTTTTATTAATGTAGTCCAAATGCGTTAGACTTGATGCTATAGATTTAAAAAACAAGTCCCGGAAAGCCTCTAGTTCAGTTGTACAGATGGTCACTTGGTCTGGTCACTCAATTTTTTTTAACTTCTCTTTTTATTACTCACTGCTGTGAAACCTTAGTAGTCCTGGTGGTGCTGTTGGATAAACACTATACGGATAACATCAAGGTCGGCTGTTCAAAACCACCAGCCACTCTAGGGAAGAAAGCTGAGGCTTTCTGAGCCTGTAAAGATTTACAGCCTCAGAAACCTTTTATAGGGTTGCTGTGAGTTGGAATTGATAATGGCAGTGAATTTTGTTTTTTGGAGCTTAGTGTAGTGGTTACGAATCGGGCTGTGAACCTTAAGGTCAGCGGTTCGAAACTACCAGCTGCTCTGCGGGAGAAAGATGAGGCTTTCTACTTCCGTAAAGATTTACACCCTCGGAAACCCTATACAGGGTCGCTATGGGTCGGAACCGACTCGATAGCACATAACAGCAACAACAACAGCATAAAACTTTAGCTTATGTAACTCCTCATGAAACTCATCCACTCATAGTTAGGCTAACTGATCTGTTTATCATATAATTTTTTAAAGGGTTTTGGGAGGAGGAACAGTAGGGTATATGGCTTGTGATTTCAGAGGTAAGAGTGTTGGGAAGCAATAGATAGAAGAGGATATATGCAAATAATAACTGTCTTTGGTTCAATTCGTTTATGAGATCAGCCTGTGATAAAATTATAGGGGATCTACTCAACTTAATTAGATAATGAATTTTATATAAGAACTAAGATTATTAAATGATACCTTTTGTCATTGAGTCAATTCAAACTCATAGCAACTTTTTACTGCCTGGTAGAGCTGCGCCATAGGGTTCCAAGGTTGTAAGTCTTTACAGAAGCAGACTGCCATCTCTTTCTTTCTCTTGTGGTACTAAATGACAGGATAAACAATGGTCTTGTACATGCTTTTTTTTTTCCTTCTTCACTACTTAACTAACTTTTTATTTATCCACTTTATAAAGCCTTTTCTTTTTTTGTAGTTTTTATTGTGATTTGAGTGAAAGTTTACTGGACAGATCATAAGTTTTACATTCAACATATCATACACCTTGTTTCCTTATAGTGGATATAATCCCCTCCATGTACCATCAGTTAACAGTATTTCTCTCTATTCACTTTGTTGTTGTTGTTGTTGTTAAGTGCCGTCGAGTCGGTTCCGACCCATAGCGATCCTGTACAGGGTTTCTGAGGGTGTAAATCCTTACGGGAGTAGAAAGCCTCATCTTTCTCCCGCGGAGCGCCTGGTAGTTTCGAACTGCTGCTCTTTTTATTTATTTATTTATTTTTTTCAAACACTCAGGCATATATAATAATTTAACCACCAAAGGGCACATTCTGTAAGTCTGCCTCCTGGCCACCAGCTCTCAGTCCCTCTCTTTCCATGAATCTAGAGTCCTCAGCTGCTCCCTCTCTCCATGTCCCATCTCTGCCTCCATCTCTGGTGTTGCTGCTTCTCTGGATAAGGTCCCACATTCTGCTTGTGCTTTTCTCCCTTGATGGTCTTAGGGTCCTCTAAACTACTCTCCATTTTTGTTACAAAACTTCTGTGTTTACAATTGTGACAGTTTCAATTAGTCAAGAGAACAATTATTCACTATTGAATCATAAGAATCTTATCCCCATCTCTTTTCACCAGACCCATCTAGACAAGATGAAAACTTCAATGGGGACTCTATCTTTCCCTGCACACTCTTAAACTCCCTCTAGAAAACTTGTAAGCCAGTCACTTTGTGCCTTTATTGCCCCTCTCATTTTAGGTAGCTAATGTCTAAGGTCTGGTGTGGCACTGTGGGTTAATGCACTAGACTGCAAAGCCATTTGAACTGCAAGGCCAGCGGTTGAAGCTTACCAGCTGCTCCTCGGAAACCCTATACAGGGTCACTATGGGTCAGAACTGACTTGACAACACTTCATAACAACAACAACGTCTAAGAAACCTGTCCCTATCTACCCTGTATACAGAGGGGATAGCATTAAAACTTGATGTGAAGACACTTTTCCTCTCTGTTCATAGTTTGAGTTTCTACATCCATGAGTGTAGGTCAAGTTCATCAAATTGTAGCAATTTACCCTTGTTTCCTTTATCACAAAAATGTTTTTTGAGATGTGAGTATCAAGCCATCGAGGCTAGGCCAGATGGGTACTATATGCAAGTTTGGGTGGTCTTGTGTGTCTCCCCTCACTTCCTATCAGCTGGATGCTTAACTCTTAGCTCTAGCCCTCTGTGCCTATGTCCTTGTCCATGGGCTCAGGTGTCCCCAGGTTTCACCCACCATACTTCGGACCAACCAGCCCTTCCTATTCTCTCTCTCGTCTCCACAGTCTTCTTTTTTAAGTGAGTTATTTAAGCAAAAGAATGAATCAGTCTTTCAGGTCAAACTTTTCTAATACATTAAAAGTTTAATCTTACCTGTGTGTTAATTTAAGGAGCCCTATGGAAATCCTATAAGGAGCTCTGATAGCGTAGTGGTTATGAATTGGGCTGTGAACCCTAAGGTCAGAGGTTCGAAACTACCAGCTGCTCCACAGGAGAAAGATGAGGCTTTCTGCTCCTGTCAAGATTTACAGTCTTGGAAACCCTGTACAGGCTCACTATGAGTCGGAACTGACTCCACGACACATAACAACAACAACAATGGAAACCCTATACAGGGTCACTATGGGTTGGAATCGACTCGGTGGCACTTGAGAACAACCAGAACAGCAAACTATTCCCAGCAGTACTGTGGAAAGGTGCTGTGTGGATTGTGCTTTCAGCTTGAAAATGACCAAATGCTCTCTGATTCTTCCAGTCTCCAAATCCCCATTGATGCTTGCTTACTAATAAATGTGATTTGGGTAGAAAAGAGAAAACCATGGAGAAACGGAAAGAAATCTTCTGGTGTGAGTGCTGTTTAGTTTTATTAATCATTCACTTTTTCACAGTGATTTTTGTTTGTTTGTTTGTTTAGAAACGGCATAAAGCTGATAATGCAGTGAACAAGAAACAGACTCAAGGTAAAAAGTTTACATTTTATTTCTTGTGTGTGTCAGATATACTTGCAGTAACATACAAAGGTCTCTTAAATGTAACTTATTTGAGAGTTCTGAGTACCTAATAAGTTTTTGCTGTAGGGTGGAGTCTTGTTTGCAGGATTTATTAGCGTGACACCTAAATTCACATGGGAGTGATGCACAGTGGTAGTACTTTAGAAAAGGCAGCATTTAAAATAGATGTACGTGCTCCACAGCAATGCTGTACCTAATACTGGCCATGATATCTTCAATTGTTTTTGGCAGTGTTAAATAATATAAAATGTCTGTATTTTGTCTGTATTCTACAGAGGTTGCTCTAAAACAGATTTGTTAAAAACAAACAGATGTGGTTACTTGTGAAAAAGACATATTGGGGACACTCAATTGTGTCATACCCAGAGGTCATGTGTGTTCCAGAAATAATGAAAATAAATAATGACAGGCCAGCATAGCAATTTGACATGGCTGATTTGAGGATTGCTGTGAGATGGAGTCCTGGTGTGTGTGGCACCACAGGATAATGTGCTGGACCGCCAGGTCAGTTTGAATCACAAGGTCGGTGGTTCAAACTCACCAGGCTAGGGCTCCTAGGAAACCCTACACAGGGTTGCTATGAGTAAGAACCAACTCGATGGTACTTAACAACCACATAACATGAGTCAGAATAGACTTGATGGTGTAGTGGGTTTATTTTGGTTTTAGTATTTTGATGTCGGTGACATTTTAATGCAGTCATTAAATATCCTCGTCTTGTTGTTGTTAAGTGCTGTCAAGTCGGTTCCGACCCATAGTGACTCTGTATAGGGTTTCCGAGGAATGACTGGTGAGCTTGAACCACTGACTTTGCAGTTCAGGTGGCTTGGTGTCTGGCGCATTAACCCACAGCGCCTCACCAGGACTTCCATATCCTCTTAGATATAAATGTATTAAACAGTGTTCAAAACCCATCAGACTACATCCTTAAGCCTTTCCTCATCAGAATGTCTCACTTCTCTCTCTCAAGTCCCATGATATGATAAAAGTTGGTGGTGTCTGCAAACATTGTCTGTAATTAGAAATAGGGATATCATGGCTGACATCAGGTGGATCCTGACTGAAAACAGAAAATACCAGAAAGATGCTTACCTGTTCTTTATTGACTATTGTTCTTGTTGTTGATAAGTGCCATCGAGTCGGTACCGACTCATAGTGACCCTATGCACAACAGAACAAAACATTGCCCGATCCTGAGCCAATCTCACAGTCGTTGCCACGCTTCCATCTCTCTGGGGGTCGGCATTTAACTGTGTGGAACATAACAGACCATAAACAATATTGCAAAGAATGGGTAATTAAGAACACTTAATTGTGCTCATTAGGAAGTTTTACGTAGACCGAAAGCAATCATTGGAACAAAACAAGGGAACACTGAATGGTTTAAAATCAGGAAAGGTGTGTGCCAGGATTGTATCTTTGTACCATACGTATTCAATCTGTATGTTGAGCAAATAATCATAAAAGCTGGATTATGTGAAGAAGAACATGGCATCAGGATTGGAGGACTTGTTAACAACCTGTAATATACAGATGATAAACCTTGCTTGATGAATGTAAAGAGGACTTGAAATACTTCCTGATGAAGATCAAACACTACAGTCATCAGTATGGAGTGCACATCAATGTAAACAAGACAGAAATCCTCACAAATGATCCAATAAATAACATCATTATAAATGGAGAAAAGACTAGTATGAAAGACTTCATTTTGCTTGGATCCACAATCAACATTCATGAAAGCAACTGCCAGACATCAAAAGGCATATTGCATTAGGCAAATCTGCTGCAAAGGACCTCTTTAAAGTGTTGAAAAGCAAAGATATCTCTTAAAGGACTCCTGATATATGTACTCCTGACACAAGCCATAGTATTTTAAATATAGAATCAGCACTGGACTGTGAACCACAAGGTGTGCAGTTCAAACCCACCAGCTGCTCCTCAGAAGACATTTACAGGGTTGCTATGAGTTGGAATTGACTCATTGGCACTTAACAACAAAATATGCACATGAGAGTTGGGCAGTAAATAAGGAAGACCATAGAAGAATTGATGCATTTGAATTGTTTTGTTGAAGAAGAATAAAAAGGACTATGAACTGCCAGAAGAACAAACAAATCTGTGTTGGAAGAAGTACAGCCAGAATTCTCCTTAGAAGCCAGGATCGGCAGACCTTGTCTCTTGTATTTGGACTTGTTGTCAGGAGGGATCTGTCCCCAGAGAAGGATGTCATGGTTAGTTAATAGAGGGTCAGTGAAAAAGAGGAAGGCCCTAAATGAGATGGATTGATATAGTGGAAATAACATGGGGCTCAAAATATAGCCACAATTGTGAGGATGGCACACTCACTGGGCAGTATTTCATTCTATTGTGTATAGGTTCTCTATGAGTCAGAACCAAGTGGACTGCACCAAACAACAAGGTCATCAATATGCAATTTTTGCACTTACTGCCATGTTGCTTGGAATATTCCATAGCACCTTTAGAAACAAACAGATGTAATTTTTCCCCTCAACATATACTGCATATTGTAGCCAAGAGGTGATTTACAGTCAAGTCTTGGCCTAAGAATTTAACTAGCACAGTTGAAGATAAACATATGTATGTGATGATATTCAGCAGCCACACTGATAGGTGCTCCTATTTTCAGGGCACCAAAGTCCCTCCCTAGATGGTGCAAACAATTTCCTTAACCTAAAGGTTGGCAGTTAAATTCACTCAACAGTTGGCAAAAGAATGGTCATGTGATGATCTGTCTCCATAAAGATTGTTGTTGTTCGATCAAGTCAGTTCTGACCCATAGCAACTCTGTATAGGGTTTCCTAGGAGCAGCTGGTGAGCTTGAACCAGCCACCTTGCAGTTCATACTGACCTTGTCCAGCATTAACCAACAGCGCCACAAATATTATAGTGAAGAAAACACTACGGAGCAATTCTGCTCTGTAACACCTGGGGTTAGCATAAGCCACAACAACAGATATGCAAATGATTTTGTCCTGCAGATTTTAAAGAAAATCCATATTCAACAAATTATGGCTTTTATTTTAGGTTGATTCTTGAAATTGTTTTCTTTTTTTCCTCTGATTAGCTTGAGGGATCTTGGTGTGGGCTTACAGGATAAGCATTGGACTGCTAACCACAAGGTCAGCAGCTCAGACCTATCAGCGGCTCCTCTGAAACCCTATGCAAAGTCATTGGGAGTCAGAACCGATCCAGGGGTACTTAACCACAACATCAAGGTTGAGTATTGGTCTCCTTTTTGGTTTGACAGTTGACAGGAAATAACAGAAATGTGGATTAGGATACTGTTTGCTGTCGGAAAACTTAAATTGCTTAATATGAAAGCCATCTGTTGCCATTAGACCTGAATGAAATGAAATTTCTTTCCAGAATTGAGGCAGGAGATGATGTGTAGGAGTAGGAAGAGGGGGTATTTTTGACAGATAATTAATTTTGACAGACATTTGAGTATTAAACTTAAATTTTCATTTTTGAAATGTTTATCAAGGCCACATAATATTTCAGAGGATACATTTCTCTCAGATTTAAATATTAACCCTTAGATAGTCTTAGAGAAATGGCTATTTTCTCTCTTATTTTCCATTGCGGTACTAGAAAATTACTTTCCTCTGTCATTTTCTATTGAAGTGTAAGTTCATCATTCTTTTTCCAACATTTTCAATCATTTAATTGTACAGCACCTGTCTGATGCTTCATCTTGCCAATTAGTGAGCTAACTCAGGGATCAAGTTGTGTATTTGGGACCTGAGAGAGTAAGAATATGTTAAATAGATCATCATCATCACAATTTATGGAAAGGGCATTTTAGTTCTGGAGATGTGTAAGTTGGTTAGTGTCAGTGGGGTGACAAATGTAAGATTGTATATTGTTCACTGAACACTTAGTTGCCAAGAGAGAGCAGAGAAATTAATGCTCAGAAGTCCAGAGAGTGTGAATCTTGATGAATTTTGTAATCTGCTCCCTAAGGATTGTGACCACTTCTCGTGAATCTTGCATTGTGTGTGTATAAGGGCTCGTCTGTACTAGATTATAATGCTCCAGGTCCATCCTCTAACTAACCTCTTAGGTGTGCCCCAAAGCTCTCCGCCCAGACCCTGACCATAGCAGGTGTTCTCTATGTGCTTTGCAAGTGAATGGATAAATGGTACTTGAGTTTCAAATAAAGAAGAAAGGAAAGGGATTAGAAATCTGGAGTATGAGAAAGATGATGAACAATGTTTTCATCACACTGTGATCCAGACTGTTTTGCAGGCACTGATAAAATTCAAATGTAGCAAAAGTTCTTGTTACATTTTTACCTTCTTTGTTGAAGTCATTATATCATCACTTTACCCTTGGTAAGCCTCTTGGGAACACAATAGTTTGTCCACTTGTCATTTTTGTTACTCAAAACTCTGGAATACTTCCACTTTCTGAATGCCCTGGTTTTGTATGTAAACTTACCTCCAAGTCCTCTTATTATTTTAACTCAGCATTTGCATGCCCTCTTCGATGTGTCTGTACACACATTGGATGCAGTTTCTTTTTTCTCTCTGAACTCAATGGTCTTGCCAAACTCATCTCTGCAGTAATTTCTAACTGATGCATTTCTAATGATCATTGTAATGCTGTCTACAAAATGAAGCTGATCCTGATACGAACTTATTATGGAGGTTAAACTAGATTTATTCTTATGTTATAAAGGTATGCTTTTGTTTTAAAATGTTATTATGGTTAGATCAAAATACAACAACAAATCCATTGTCATTAAGTCTGTTCCAACTCATAGTGACTCTGTAGGGTAGAATTGAACTACCTCCATGGGAGCACTGTGGCTCTGTAGGGTAAACACTGGACTGCTAACCAAAAAGTTGGTAGTTTGAGCCCACCAGCTGCACTATGGGAGAAAGACGAGGTTTTCTGCTCCTGCAAAGATTTGCAACCGTGGA